AAACCCAAAACCCTAAACTCAAAAAAAACCCGCAGAAGGAAGCCTGGGCTCGCCATCCGAAGTAGACTTCGATGTCTGTGGCGTTGTAGATCTTCCCAAGATCCACCCTCGGCAGGGTTTAGGGTTTAGGGTTTAGGGTTTAGGGTTTAGGGTTTAGGGCTTAAGGTTTAGGGTTTAGGGTTTAGGGTTTAGGGCACGAAGCGGGTAGCTTAGGGCTTTGTTGAGGGCTTTTAGGGTTGAGGGGTTAAGGGGGTCAGGGTCTAGGGCCTAAATAAGTACGTAGACTATTTTGAGGGTGTTTTATGATAAGTGTAGTCGAATATACTCCAAAATTCAATAACCCTGTTCTAATGAGGAAGGCCCCTATAGCAGCTTGGGGGCTCTTAGGGCTTGTAGGGTTCGGGGCTGCTGAGACACAGTTTGGGGTGTTTCGACGTGTTTTAATAGTTGTTGAGGCTGTGCTTGAACAAACACGGGACTCAGAAAGCTGGTGTTATCAGTACCTCTTACTTGTCGCCCGCGTTCCTAGTCGAATGATAATTTCAGTGGGCGGTTGTTCCTGCCACTTCAGGCGCATGTTCTTAATCTTGGTACAACGGGCTGGGGGAGGGGGGTCTTACAATAAATAATTACCATAGAATTGAATGTACGGTTTCAGAATCAGGGGTTCATTCTGTTCCAAACTCCCGCCCCAGCTTCCTGAGTGATAACATGCAGGAATTATGACGAAGTTCGCAGTGCGCCATAAGGCGAGGGTGCCTAAAGTCCTAGAGCTTGCAGAATCACATTCTGAGAGCCGCTTCAGCCATTCAGATTAATTGGAGCTTAAGATCTTGCCTCCTTGAGTACACAGCAGGTTTCCACCTAAACCTTCATCCGACATTTACCAATGAATAGGGCTCGCACGAATTGCGAGGACTTGGCTATGCCAGGACAGACACTTCTGAAGCATTGTTCTGCTCATCAGGAAGTCGACAACCCCTAAAGCCGCGGATGCTTGCTTCAAGGTTCCTGGGACTAAGTGGCTTATATAAACAAGGTAGTTCTACTTTGTTCTAACCCTAAACCCTAAACCCTAAACCCTAAACCCTAAACCCACTTAAGGTACCCGAACTTATTAAGTTAAGTCCCATGAACCTCCACGTGGGAGGCTTGAAACCCAAGACCCAAAGCCTTTCCCCCTAAATTCAATTCCCTTCCGGGTTTAGGGTTTAGGGTTTAGGGTTTAGGGGTTTAGGGGTTTAGGGTCTTCGTCCCGAAATGACCATAAACAATCCTTTACAATCCTCCCCACTAGTATCACTCATATTAAACAAGCCCGAGGACCCGAAACGCCCCCAACACCCTACTTGGAGGTTCATGGACTTAATAAGTACAGTTATAGGTGCCTTAATTGGGGTTATAAGTACTTTTAAGTATAGTTACCTTGTTTATAACCCTACTTACTAAGTCCCATGAACCTTTAAGTAACATACTCAATAAACCCCTAAACCCTAAACCCTAAACCCTAAACCCTCAATCTTCTGGGATAGTTAACCCTCTCCTCCCCCCTCGCCCAAACCCAAACAAGCCCCTCCTCAGAGCCTTCCGAGCGCTAGAACTAATTCCGGGACCGGGGTCTGAGGAAGCATGCTACGGTTTAGGGCTTAGAGTTTAGGCTTTATAGGGTTTAGGGTTTAGGGTTCAGGGTTTAGGGTTTAGGGTTTAGGGAATTAGGGTTTAGGGTTTAGGGTTCAGGTGTAGGGCCTAGGTTTCAGGGTTGAGGGTAAGCGTTAAAAAGGCAACAACACGTCTCAGTCCTCTGATCCTTCAAGAAAGACCCGGCAAGGGCCTTTTCGCCCTATATTCTAGTTTAGGGTTAAGGGTTAAGGGTTTAGAGTATTATGAATTCCTATAGGGTACCAGAACCTTAAACCCCAAGCAAATCTCAAAACCTAAACAACATAGGAGCCTTGATGTGGGTTACCGAGGGTTGCTTGTTGTACGTACGGTCGGATATACCCTAAAGCCTTATTCCGAACCTACTCTACTTTCTGAAGCCCTTTTCCAAAACCGCAGCCCTAAACCACAACCAGCCGTAACCTATCCCGTCTACAACCACAAACCCATAACATCCTTTATGGAACACCACAACATCCCATGTAGGCACCCTTTAACGGAGCACGATAATTTCCTTTATGAGACCCTGAACGGGGACACCATAATATTGCTTATAGAACCCCTGGTATCCTTTACCCAGACGCCCGGGTGGATCTGAAAAGTAGATCCCCTAATATGGGACCCTAGCTACTAAAGGGTACTCTATAGGAACCCCCTTAAGGGATCCACGCTCTAGATCCTTCCGGGGGTCTGGGTAGGGAGACTCGCAAGCTTCTGCGAACCAGGAGCGAAATGTAGACGTTGTCACCCTCGAACCGGGGAGGACCTCCACAAGGGGTTCATCGTGTTCGTGTGAAGGGTGTGGATAGGCCGGTTTTTGTTATAGTATTAGGTGTCAGATCGTCTTCGTTAAGATTTAGGGCTTAGTGTTCAAGGGTGTGTTCATGGCTTCTAGAGACCCAGGGTTGATTCGTATGGACGTTCATACGGCGTTTATGACGCTCTCTGGGTCTGCTTGAGAGGTCGTAGGATCCGGTACGTAGGCTCAGTTTGGGTTTGTAGCTATTTACCCTAACTGGGGGGCTGGGTATGCTACAGTTAGAAGGACTATGCTGCTAATTTAGGGGCGTTAAGAAATAGATGAGGGTGTAAGGTTATCTTATAGTATACTTATAGTTAGTGGAACTCTAATTTATGCAGAATAATCTCACTAAGTGTTTGGGCTTGAAATAATACTAAATACCGACTTGCGAGTAAGTCTGACGGCTATGGGTTGTTCGGGTTGTGGTTAAAGGGGCCTTGGGTTCCCTAAACCAAGCTTGGTTTAGGGTTTAGGGTTTAGGGTTTAGGGTTTAGGGTTTAGGGTTTAGGGTTTAGGGTTTAGGATGTTCATGGGTGGAGTTATAAGTACCTTAATTGGGGGTCATAAGCAGTTTTAAGTATAGTTGCCTTAGTTATGGCCCTCGTTGCTAAGTCCCATGAACCTTACAGCAAGCCCTAAACCCTAAACCCGCTAAACCCCCTAAACCTGGGTTCAAGTGTTCACGGTTTCGCAAACTGCCTTCTCAGTCCTCCAGCGAAGCACATGGGGTGGTTCTCTAAATTTGGGTCCCTTTTAGGGTCCTTTTTATAAGGGTGCCGTTCTATAATCGGGACCTACAGCAGGACCCTAAGTTAGAAAACTACCCATATGGGTGATTAGGAGTCGCCTGGAGTTTGGAGATTAGGGTTTCTAGTTCAACGGTTTAGGGTTTATGGTGCCAGGTTGGGGGTCTGAAGGCCTTGCGAGGACCTTTTTAACAAGACAAACAGTACAAGCAGCCTGAGCTTTAGAATAGGGCTTAGGGATGTATTATGCAGGGACTACCAAGGGACCAAGGGCATATTGCTTATATTCACTCTGACCTCTGGATGAGGTGCCATGGGGTCCAGTTGACCAGGTTAGGGATGTAGGGCTGTGGGTTTAGGATGATTGAGGATTTTTCGCCCGAGCTGAGGTACCTACCACCTCACCAAATCCATGCTCACTACAATTTAGAACTTCAGCCCTAGCACCTTCTCATCCTAAAGACAAGGCGTCCTAACAGTATGCTGGTTGAGTACTTAGGGACAGCAAGCCCAAAACAATCATCCAAAGTCTGAGCGGATATTCGTCGTTTTGGAATTGTCGGGTTTCGGGCTTCTGGGCAAACTTCTCAGGGCTGCAGCTTTGGTATTCTTGCTTTGAGGCTCTGGGATTTAGGGCCTGAGGAACTCGGCACTTGTGCTCTAACACGGGAAAAGGCTGAGCCCGTGGCCCATCCAGTAGGTGTCCTGAGCCACAGATCATCGAAGTCTGACGTGGCAACATATGGAAAGTTCAAGGCTTGTGTATTTGCTTGCGGTATGTGTTTGTAGTGTTTGGGGGACATGCATTTGCTGAGT